GCTGGTAGAAGTTTACTGACGTTTTAGAGGTCCTTGCTGCCTCCATCATCAGGGTGATCTGAAACGTCGGTAAACTTCTACCAGACTGCAGAAGACAGCCATCTTCAGACCCACCGCCGTGAATACCTCAAATCCTATGTGCCTCACTCGTTCGTATTGCTTGGGTGGAATCTGTAATCGGTCGTATTTTATTAACGAAAAGCGGAAATAAGGTATAACGAACCACTTAAAGTCATAATTTTAACTTCGAAAGGCGAAAACATTTAAAACAAAGAGCCCAACTTTCCATGATGGTATTTTTAAGACCCAGGGAGAATTGTTTGTGCAATTTGTGTTCATCATTCCAATTTGTGAACGCTTGTTCCAAGTTATTGTAGCGAAGCCGGTAAAGAATGCAATATTCACAGTGTCATGTTATCATTTTTCGTTTTATAATGGAAATGCACCGGTGTCGTGCGGTCTCATGTCAGCCACCACACAGATTTTCAGCATGCAGAGTAACCTACATTTGCGCTTCGTCTAAAAGTTTCTCGTGGCCACCATATTGTTAAACCTGAAATTAAATTAGATAATTAAAAAGAGAATTTACTTTGATGTCGAACTTTATGAAAATCGCTTCAGTATTTAAGTACTTACTATTCGCGAGGTCGAGGGTTCAAGTTTCGGACCGGCTATCGTGACTGAGGTTTTCTTGGTTTTCTTCAGTCCCTCCAGGCAACCCCAGAATAGTACCTTCAATTAGCCGTTGATATCTTTTTCAAGTCTTACTGCATAATCAAAATACGAATTTGTGAAGTCTGAACTGCCTCACGTTCCTAAATATTACGAAATGAACTTGATAAAACCCGATCATTGTCTGAACAAATTTCTGAATTACTGTTGAATGATAATACGTCGGGCCTGCAGACAAGTCAACGGCATTATGTTACATCGGGAGGCAGCTTTAAGACTCGGGTAGTTGACTTACTCAGTTCCACATAAACGGAACCTGAAAAATGGGCCTTTTGTAGAATACAGATTGCTCATATGACCAACGGCCATATCTAGTGCCTGTAGACTGACAGACACACACACACCGACATGTACAGAGGAATTGTGTAATTAATACATATATTAATGAATTGTGCTACTGTTCTACAGGAAGTCCCATTTATCAGTAGGCCGACCGGCTAGAAAACTGTTCGCCCACGCGTGCCCACTGCTGGCCGACAGTCCCTCGATGCTTGCTGGCATAGCTCGATAGCGCTGCGTGTTTAGCATGATTAGTTGTCCTTGAGATTCTTACAAGTACAGTTCACGGTGTTGTGAAATACAGAGTTCGAAAATGAAGTATGTTTTGAACAGAAATGATTCATTAAGAAACATTTGTACAGCATTCTTCGTGGAAGAAATGCCGTAGAAAGTTTCGTAGGAAGTATTCTGACAATACATTGCCATGTAAAGCAACGATCTGCAATATCGTAACAAAATTACGTTCTGCGGGATCGGTGCTGGCCAAAAACAAATCTCGAAGAAGACATGCATTGCATGAAGTCTTCGGCGAACGAGTTATAAGTCGAGGATTTGGCCTTCGCGATCACCCGAATTAAATCCTTGTGACTTTTATTTGTGGGACACGCTGAAAGAAAAAGTACATTTGAACAATCCGCACACTTCGGAAGAACTTCAAGAAAATATTAGTCATGACATTTTTGCTATTCCCGTACAGCGGCTTCCACTTGTGTCTAGGAACATATCTTCACGATGTTAGGCATTCTTAGAAGCAGAGGGTCGTCATTTCGAGACAGTTCTACAAAATAAGGTAAGCTAGACTACAGCGGAAGAAACGGGCCGTGGATAACCGGCTACCGCGGCAGGTTTTTGCGATAAGCGTGCCGTGTCAGCTGCCGGATCCAGTCTAACGATTAACGGTGTACTCTGTAGAAACCTGCTGTAGCGCACAGCCCGCATGTGGCAACAGTGCATCAGTTTTATGGAGCTTGAATTTACCTCTAAAATTACAATAGCTTAGTCAACTGTAAGAAATTTTGTAAACATAAAAGCGCATATATAATTCCAGTGTCCCTGTAGCCTTACGCGATGGTATTTACTTAGGCTTGTGTCCAGAAATCTCACATATACAGACATAATTTATAAGGGAACCATAAGAAGAGGTACATCGAAAACCAGTTATCAGGTTACACAGTGCCATTGTACGCTTATAACTAATAATTAGTTGTGAGAGAGTCACATTATGTATGAATGACGGTCTGCTAATGGACTGCGTTAGAACACGCTTTTAATGCTCAAGTACTTTTTATCTCTTTTTCGATATGTGACAGAACAAACACGTTTGTGAATTAGTTCATAATGGCTTAGATGTAACTCGAGTTTTATTTTACCGTCATTACATCGCGACTTATAAGGCCGTGATAGTTGTTAAAAATCCAATCTTTGCGTTTGAATGCATTGATTTCCGTATAAAAACGTATAATCTTGAAGTAAAGAAATAATGAGGTGAATAACGATAGCTGTTAGGGTGCGGTATATATTTGGACAACAGCCAGGAATTGTTAATTGTACCGTAAGGCATGGACGGTTGAGACTTGCAATTAAGTTACGTTCGCCACGTACTTTAAACGGACGTGGTTGCTGTCATTTCTATAGAAGGGAAGGAGAACTGTTTTGATTATTTTAAGTAACTTCCATGAGGAGGGTGTGGAGAGAACAAGTTATTCGACTTTTCTTTTCTCGCTTGCTTCTGTCTCGAACACAAAAACATTGCAATAAAGGAACTACTGCCTTCAAGGTAGACAAGAAATTGCCCAATCTTCTTCCAGTGAGAGTGAGGCGCCGGAGAGCTTCACTCTCATCACTGTCTAAAACCCGTCATGTTGCTATATTAGACTATGCTTCGTCTTTTCACATTCTAGTGACGTGTTTGGGGTCCGCAGTGCCGCGCGGTCGCTGGGTCCGTGGGTTCGAATCCCACTCAAGCCATGGATGTTGTGTCGTGCTGTCCTGTGTACAGGTAGAGGCCTTGCGACGGGTCGATCCCTTATCCAAGGAGTCCTACCGAATGTATATAGATCGAGCCAACGAAAAGTTTGAACCCGCGGTGCTCAGGCACTTGAAGTATCCCCAGTAACGTGTTTACTGTACTCGTATTTACGCCATTTACATGTTACTGAAAAACTCCCTCCCCGATGGATCTGCACTTCATATATTGGCCAGGACTCGTTCATTACTGTAATCATCATGTACAAAGTTTTGAAGACGTGAAATTATTCTGGTTTATGTAACATTGGCATTCAAAAGGAAAGTGTCTGAGGAGACTTAATGCGATTAATTCTGAAATCTAGTTTAATAGATGCGTGGTGGGTGACTCATACATGCCGATTTGGTGATCCAAGGGCAGATTCCATATCAGGTAGAATCAATTTATCTGCAAATCTTAATTGAACGTCTTCACGACTCCGGTTTGTGGTTGAGCTAAGGAAACAGATTTACAATAAAAGTTTATACGTAGTTCATTCTGTTGAGTGCATGCAGATGGCCTTCCGAACAAGAAGAGGACATGAGATTTGGCCGTTCGATGTTACCGTAATCGTCCATACGCGTTACATATTTAGTTATTTAACGACGCTCCAACGACGTCAAATGCTACTGGTTGATGTAAAAAATTATGGAGAGTGAGGAGACGGTGATGATGGTCTATACAATTAAGGAGTTCATGCCGCTGGGCTAACTTGCTCCGTATGTCAGTTTCAGTTACCAACGTTTTGGAAAATGTCTCTCCTCCATCTTGGGGGGGGGGGCAGGGGTGGTAGCCAACAGTTGACAAAGGAAAACCGAAGGAAAAAAGAAAGGTGATTGTGTTATGTCATGATTATTTGTACTTCAAACTCGTTATTGACGACTGATCACCCGAGAAGACTTCATTACGTTTAGTCAGAATGGAAACTTCCAGCGGCTGTACCTTTGTTACGTGCTCTAGAGCAGTGTTGCACAACCGGTGTATTTAGGTTTTTAGACAGCAGACGGAAAGGCAAAGGATCTTGAACTGAATGCTATATACCGACAAAGGCCAATGGTTATCTCTATGAAAACGCTGATATCAGTCCTTGACTGTTGAATAGAATTGTGCGGTCGCTAGTTCCGTTTTCCGCCGTTGTTGCCATATAACAAGGACTCCCCGAATTTATTCCGCTCTTCATCTCTTCGTGACTGAAATTTTTATTTTATCGAATTTTTTAAATATTTTAATTTCACAATTTTAAAGGACAGATTAGGTACCATATCTATCATGTTGTCTGGTGACAAGACATGAACTTTAGCATAGTTTTCTCTGTGTTAACTTTAGACTACCTTCCTTACCAGCATCTAATAGATCTTCTGTGTTTCATCGTATTTATATTTGGCCCAATGAATTATCACTATCAGAATAGACCAGAGACTGATGTGTCCCTCTTTGTTTCCCTGTACTTGACTAATATCTTATTATAAAGCAACGTTGAAAAGGAATGGTGATAAAGCATCAAATTTCATACCATTCTGATTGGGAAATGCAGTACACAAATGTGGACTGTACCAAAGTCTTCATTTAAATACGTTTATTAGGTAACTAGTTTTCGGGGTATGCTGAATTCAGTGAGAACTCTTTAGACTATATTACCTCGTTCCGAACTGGTACTTGAAATCTGCAGATAACTGATTCAGTGTCCTGTTGTACGTACATTATTTCTCTAGCATGTGACGAATTCAGAATATCGGGTGTAGTTAATGATTATTTCTTAAGTCCACATTGATGACGCCCGTTACTTCCATGGAGGCTACGTATGGAGTTAGCCTTGACGGCCCGTCTCATTACTACTGTCTTGTAATTAACACCGCATGTGTGTCAACTTGTGATCTTAACTTTGAGTTGTTTTAGTTTATTTTTTTATTCTGAATTTAAGTGTGTTTTAGTGCTTGGTTATGTTTTTGTTTGTTTGTATTTTTATTTGTTTGCACTTCTACAGATGGTGCAGCAAACTCAACCACTAACACAAAATTAATCGAAGACACGCCAAAGAAGAAATTGACAGGTAATTATATTTTTTATTATTACAGTTACAAAACACAAGCTATTTTGATCTGCCTAAGCAAGAGTAAGTTAAACTCGGTAGATATGTAGCTGAATGTTTATCAGGGCTGGAAAGCCCATATTAACTGCTGTCAGTGATTGATCGGCAGTGACACCACAACCATGGATACTTTTCCAGCAGCAGTTTGTAAGGTATTCAGTGATAAAAGAATCTTCTTTCACAAATGTAGTTCTTCAAGTAGGTGTGGAGTACTTTATTCACTTATGCTTGGGTGTTTTTGTAAGAACTGTGTTGATCTAAGTTTTGTTATCTAGTAATTAGATTTGACATAGCATGTGCTGTTTTTTACCGTTTTCTGTACAAGCGCCTGTTTTTGTGTGCTGCACTGTGCTTGTCTTGTAGAGGAAGAAAGCCTTGAGGGAGCTTCCGATCTCGAAGGAAAAAGTGTCGAGAAACATAAATCTTCGAGTAAGTACGAGTTTATGTACAAATTTCATTATAATACCAACTAAACAATTCGGCATCACAGTGTTGTGTTCATTAACCAAACTGACATCTTCTAGGGCTCGGAAGACAATGTTATCGAAAGTTATACCGCTAACAACAGCATATAACCTAATTCTCAGCATATTTCACTGCGTGACTTTAAGATAAGAAAGCGATTTTCTTGTACACCGAATTGATATTGCAACATTATATAGCCAATTAATTGTAGGCAGTGTGCGATAAAGTATATTAAATGAGACTTCTTATCAGAGATAAAGCTCTTTCTGCTCTTACCACCGCGCCGTAAGGAATTTATATAGGGACCATTTTTAAACTCGGAACTAGATGAAAGTGAGTGGCGTGGTAAGAAAATTAATATACCCATTGAATATGGGGCGCAAACTGCACCCCCAAGATCTTCCTTTGGTTTATAGCCGGCGGCTTTCTGCCCGTTGGGTAGAAGGTTGGTTAGGCCCTAGAGCACGTTTGGATCTTGTGGCAAAGAGAGATATTCTTCCGCTCTTTCGGGGATCGAATAATGGCCGCCAGCCGTTTTACTCACTGAGCGATACCGACTTAGTGTAAAAAAAATCTTAGCACCAACCGCTTTGCAAGGTAAGTGTAATGGGGAACGAAAGTTGACTGGAGGACTTAAAATAACTCACTGTTGGTTTTTCATATGTCATGTCTAACCTTTATTGTGTGATAACCTGCAGTGTATTTTATGTGCGAACGTAGAGTATGTTTAAGAATCATAAATCTTCCAGTAACCTCCCATGGAACGGATACCTCGTCAGTGTATGTGCGATCATGACAGAATTCTGTTTCTCTGTCTTCATTATCACCAGTGTATTAAACGTTCAAATTACAACGCAGCGTTGTTAATTGTTGTATCAGTTATTTGACAATCTTGACATACTGTGAACCGTTTCTGCATAGTTGTATAGAGATATAACTGAATTATGCTCTTCAGATGCGCTTGTGATTAACATACGCTTAGTTTTTGTGTGTATGAAACACTTGTGAGTTTCGTTAATACACACACACACACACACACACCGTCTATGTAAATTGTCGAAAAGTGTGCTTAAAACCTGTCGAGGGTCCTTGCTATAATAATTGGTGAAGGTGCATGTTGTTATTACCATATTCCTTGCCTGAAGGTAGGAACCTTGATCGAAGGTATTGAGAACGGGTGCTGAGGCGAATATCTGAGGAAGCAACAGGAAGATGGAGAAAATTGTGTAATGAGGGAGGAGATTAATAAATTTTGCTCTTCTGTAAATGTTGGGAAGTAAGATGATCTGGATGAGGCATGTAGCACGTATGGGAAGAATGAAAAATACATATAAATTTAGTCGGGATATCGGAATATACGAGATCACATGGGAGACCTAGCAATAGATAGGAGGTTCATATTTGGAGGTTCATATTTGGACGAACCTTAAGGAAATGGTTTTTGAGGATGTGGACTGGATTCATCTGACTCAGGGTAGGTTCTGGAGGCATGATTCTGTGAACGCGGTAATGGATCTTCGAGTTTAATAAAAGGCGTGAAATGTTTTGCCTAACTGACCAACTAATAGTTTCTCAAGAGGGATTTTCCATGGAGTTACTCAACAGTTTATATCGGAACAATAGCGATGAAGTTCTTCAAACTATCTCGCATAGTGTAAAGCAATATTCATCGACGGGTGGTTGGCATACATATCGCCCATCACCATGGTGGGGGTTTGTTTGTAGTGGCTTATTGATCATCCTATGACCCATTTTGTGTGCAGTGTATTACAGTAGATTATGACTACTGGCGTACTGCGGAATATAAAGTGATAACTTCATTTACGGACATTTTCGGAAACTAGCAATGCCACAAATTTGATGCGAGTGTACAGATGATATGATCTCTCTTATTGCCTATTGCTTTTCGTCTCTTTCTTGTTGCTAATTGCTTTTGCTGGTGTGAATCTGCCTAATTGTACTGTTGCATAACGCGATTCCTGGGCCGGTATTGCTCCACGGTTGATTCTAAGAGGTATTTGTAAAATTAAATCACACATAAAAGGATGTGAATAAAATACACATATATGCGAAATAATAATCGGTCCCTTGTCTAGATTAGAACATGGAATGTACTTACAGAGTAAGAAGCCGGAACACAGTCTTCTCTAGGCTGTATGCAATCGCTGTAGGGTACTATTACATAGTACACATAATTTAAGTACCGTCATTAAATCTTAGTACGACAATTTGTTTGAAACCGCAGATACGGCGAAAGAATAACACAAAAGACAAAGTTTGCAAAACACACGATCAGTTTAGCTTCTCTAGAAATCCCTGTTGCACGTCCGCTGACGTGATGAAAGGTTAAGGGCGAATCTCGGCAACATCCTGAAAGTACCCAAGATCCAGCAGAGATGACGATTAAAACATATAAAATGGCGGATTTTTATTTTGCCTTGCAAAACTGTTCATTTCTTAGTTGACAGAGACGCAGTGCTGTACTGTATGTCGGAAAATATTGCTTCCAGTGGCATTAAAAGTCTGTCATCTATTTAATAGCGACTTGTATCAAGTGAACTCATCAGAGCTAAAGTGGTACAAGTAATCATAGGTCTAGAAGTGTTGTTATAAGGATATGTTTTCAGTTGTTTTTTACTGTACACAGTTAAATCACATTTGTACTGCAGCTAATAAGATTACCTGGTAAGCATACCAAATTACCCTACATTTTTCATTTGGTATTAACGGGAAACCATATTTTGTATATTAAAATAATGTGACTTGTACCACTTAAGCTGAGAGGAGCTCACATATCAATCGAATATAGCCTACGGTGAAATACGTCGAGGTCACTTATTTTATTGGGCCAAGGATTTTGTGTTGTTCTTTATTCTTGAGAAAGACTCACGATAGCATTTACTTCGTTCAGGATGGCCTTGCCATATTCATTTTCACGAAGTTCATTGTTCTAGGATGTATATGTATGTCAAGAGCCATAGAGTATATGAATGAACATGGTACACGTTCATTCAGTTGACTGTACATATAACATTCCTTATTCAAGATCACATTAATATAACATTGTGTAACATTTAACGACTGTTAACAGAGTGAAGACTCAGCTCTACAGTAAAATGTGTTATAGGGGTGGGCACTGCAGAAATTTACAAATAGACTGATTGATTTTAACTTTCGGGAGACTCAGGAACTTATTTAACACTTCAGAAGTTGTGTTCTTCTTCTTGGGCATACAGCTCTTAGAGTTTAGCCATTGCCTCCTTCAATATGATGGCCCATTCGGCCCTATCTTCAGCTCTCTTCCTCCAAATCCTTCTCGACACAATCAAACCATCTCAGCCTGGGTTGCCCTCTATCTCTTCTCCCATCTGGTTTTCCCATAAAGATTTTCTTCACAGTCCTGGTGTTCTCCATTCTGATTAAGTGACCTGCCCATTCAAGTCTTCTGACTTTTATTAAAGTTACAATATTTGGTTTGTTGTACAATTTCTCAATTTCCAAATTACTGCGGATTCTCCTTCCATTTTGGTCTTTAATAGGACCATAATTCTTCCTCATGATTTTCCTTTCCCATCGTTTCAGTTTGTTTCATTTGCTGAGTCATGGCCCATTTTTCACAACCTTATATCACTGTTGGTTTAATTATTGTATTATAAATCTGCAATTTAGATTGTTTTGATAGATATCTTGTTCTTATCACTTTAGATAAAGCTTGATAGCATCTATTTCCTGCAGTGATTTTGGCTTTTATGTCTTTACTACAATCATTATCCCATGTACCTATTGAACCTAAATATCTAAATTCATTACATTCTCTATATTCTTCAGAGTCAATAGAGATTTCCCTATTTTCTTCATTTCTTAATTTTCTCTTGGATGTATTCATGTAAACTGTTTTGTCTACACTAATTTCAAACCCTATTTCTCTTGTAATATTCTTTATTTGTTCATAAGTTTAATTTATTGCTGCTAATGATAGTGTTACTATAACTACGTCATCTGCATAGGCCATATTTTGTTTAGTTCTATTAATTATACTACCACCTGGATTTATTGTAATATTACGTATAATCTTTTATAGTATTATATTAAATAACAATGTTGATAATGAATAGCCTTGTCTCAGGCCACTTGTTTCGAAATTTTTTGATAGTTTTCCATTAATTCGAATTTGGTAAACTGTTTTTGCTAAAGTAATTTTTACTAAATTTATGATTTTCTGTGGTATACCAAATTATCTTATTATCTCTATTTACGCTATCACACGCTTGTTTAAAATCTATAAATAAACTTCTTCTGTGTGACTACCTAAATATCTGGCTATGACATTCGTAAAAATTTTGTAGGTCACATTTAGTAAGGCAATTCCTCTGTAGTTCTCACGTTGCAGTTTATCTCCCTTTTTATAAATAGTGCGGATAATGGCAGTTTGTCAATCAACTGGCATTTCCTATTTTTCGCATATCATTACAATTAGGTTATAAATTCTGTCCCAAAGTATCCTGCCTCCATGTTTTAAGAGTTCGGCCGCTATTCCATCCTTTCCCGGAGCCTTATTCATCTTAAGCCTTTTGATAATCTCATAACCCATGGTTCTCGACGGTTTCTGAACATCATTTTCTGGGCCGTAAAATTCAATAACATTTTCATCATCAGCAGTATAACTTGGATTATTTAAAAGTTCTTTAAAATACTGAGACCATCTGTTCATCACTTTCTCTTCTCCACCTATCAAATTTCCTCCCCTATCTTTACGTATCGTTGTTCGTGGTTGATACCCCTCTTTGAATCTTCTAACTTCTTGATAAAATTTTTGACTTTCTCTTCTCACTTTAAAAGTTTGCATTTCCTGCAATTTCCCTTCTTCATATTCCTTCTTTTTCTTTCTACATATTTTGTATGCGTTTCTGCGGCCTTTTTTATATTCCTCTGTTGCTATCCTTGTTTTCCTATTTAACATTTTTTTTCTAACTTCATTTCGTTCATCTATGGCTTCTTTACATTCTTGATCAAACCAATCTTTATGTGCTATTCTAGTTCTATATCCAATCACCTCCATAGCTGTTGTTTGTATGCAAAACTTAATCTGCCCCCATTCCTCCTCTATATTAACTGATTTTGATGATCTATCTTCAATTCGTTTCCTTATCTCCTCTCGAAATCTAAGCGATGTACCTAAATTGCTGAGTTTTGCCGCATCAGACTTTTGTATTTTCTGTCCTGGGCTCCTCCTTGTTGTAGTAATTATGGGTCCGGATTTTATTTTAACCATAAAGTGGCCACTATCACAATCTGGTCCTCTGCAGCTTTTAACATCAATTATATCCTTTACATGTCAAGACATGATCGATTTGATTTTTCGTTTCTCCATCAGGGGATTTCCATGTTTCTTTATGGATATTTCTATGTGGAAATAACATGCTACTGATAGCTAAACTGTTAGTTATTGCAAAATCACTTAATCGATTTCCATTTTCATTTTCTTCTGCATGTAAACTGTATTGTCCTATATTTGGTTTTAGGGATGTATCTTTCCCGTAACATACATATCCTTTCATTAACAGCTTCAAAACACAAGATTGAAGATTTTAAGGCTCTTATGATAAAGAAAACCAGTACCGAAATCGTTCCTTTTATTGCTTCCACTTCAGCATCCATCAAATCTCTTGAACTGCAACAATTTTTATCTTATATTTGTTGAGCTCATTCATTAATTGTTTCACTGCATCAGGCTTATACAGACTACGTACATTCTATGTGGCAAAATAGGTTACCGTGTCCTTTTTCTTTTGCCAAGGTCGTCTTACAGGATCCGTCTGGCCATCACATTTAAGTTTCTGAATCAGTTTATTTCAGAGTTGGGGGTGATTAGCCCCCAGCCTCCTAGATTTGATTTTGGGGTTTACTCCCCTAGTGGGGTTGGTTTCAACACACCTATGAGCCCCCTCTGCCCTATCACTTGGAGTACTTCTTAGTCTGATCCCTACCCTTTGACCTGTCCGGCAAGGGAGGCCCTACCAGTAGCCACGCTACCGCCGGCATAGCTCTCAGGGTCATGGGGATACGCGAACTCCACCACCCACGCTAAGGTCTCTGGTGGGTATTTCATTTTGTAAAGTTTACAACTGTAATATCTCAATATTGTCTTGTTCTTAACCGAGAACCATCAGTTATACTTAGGAGCATTTGATGTCTGTTAATAAAGCACTCAAATTTCAAGTTGTTTTCCACCAATGATTCATATTACAGCTTAATCATAGTCACTCTTACTGAAGGTAACGAATATAATATCTCATTTAAAAATTTAACAAATGCATATCAAATTCAGGTAAATTTTGCCAAGAAAACCTAATTAATGTAATTTCAGTTTTGATCATAATTTATTTGAGTGAAATATGATGTGCACTGACATTTTTTTCCATAAGGAGAAAAAAATATCATCGGAATTTAATTTGCTATGTCCATATTTCAATTCATTGTCTTTTTCATATCTTGTTCTGTTCTGGTCAGAACTGCTAATGTTCTATTCTAAAGAAGATGAGCTATCCATTCTGAGTAAAGATTCAAAACTGTAGTTATTCCACAAGAGGAACAGGTTACATCTGGACAATTTTGTATCTTTGCTTTATTTTTGTACACACTCTTACAGCTTGATTCTGTATGTGAAACTTCTAACATCCTTCTCCAATAATACCTGAATGTGATATATTGTGATGTGGTGTGTTCATCTGTGACTGCTTTTACCCACAGGAAAGGTTATGCCCATAAGAATTTTAGCAGTTTACCCATAAGTATCAAATGCGACATCTTCTTCTTCTTCTGTGGCTCTCCGGTCTGTATTCGGTCCATGGCCTCCTCAATTCTCCTCTTCCATTCGGTCCTCTGTTAGGTCCATCTGTCCGAGGCTTTGATTGAGGTTTCGAAATATCTTCCTTTTTACGGTGCAAGGTTGTTAGCCTTGCGAACAACCCCCAACCTGGAGGACCAGGGTACCTGTCTTAGTCTGACCTCTCCCCCTCAACCAATCTGGCTAGGGAGGCCCTACCAGTAGCTCTTGGGGTCACTGAGGTACTCAAGCCCCACCACCACGACAAGGTGCAGGTACCATTAAGTGAGGCAAATGTGACATCTGCTGGTTGTAATGACAATGACTTTTCTAAATGAAGTTGCCTTCCCTAAATATTTTCATATTCCTTAATTTTTGTTCATTGCGTTATACTTCAGCTTCACTAAAACTGTAGTAATGACATTTTAAAATGTTCCTTGCAATCTTGACCTGAAGTTTGTATAGCTATCATTCTAAATCTTTGGGCAGAAATTGCTTGGTCCTTCTTGATTGCTTCTCAAAGTAGTTTGCAGGTGCTATTGTACTGTGTGTATTTTTAAGAGTATTTCTGAAGAAATAAGATGAATGAGAACAATTATAAATATATTTATGCTGTTTGTTATGTTTACAAATTATAGTAGATTCCACAAGAGTTTGTTCATGTCTGTAGAACTAATGAGGAGCATGTAAGCCATGATGGTCACATTCTTTGGCTGCCATAAAGATTCAGTAATATATATATATATATATATAAAAAACCAAATTGTGAATGATTGAAATATGTACTGACATGTTTGTCTCTTGTCAATGTGACACCGTGCATTCTCAGGTTGTGGAAGGAGGAAGCAGCCTCTGTAAGTTGAGGATAACTGGTAATTTGAAGATGGCTCTTCTGAGTTGTTGCACTGTGTAGTCTGGTAGAAGTTTACCAATGTTTCAGATGTCAATTATGAATTAGCAAGCATGGAAAACTGACAATGTTTTTGTCGAACTGTTTGTGAATTTAGTGAGGGTCTAACAACTCCTTACCATAAGAAGCTAGTATGTTGAAAGAATGCTACAGAAAACGGACTTTTTTTGTGAAAATGGTAAAGAACTGCAGGGTTTTGTAAAAGTAGGAAACTTCTTAATCTATAAGGATGCTCCATTTTTAAAAGATGTTTGTGTGTCCATGTTTTCTTGGCAGGATGCTGGTATGTATTCTAGTGAACTGTAGAAAAGTTTTACAGTGTGAAAAAATAGATGACATTGGTTTATTTACATAGATTCTTCAGTTTTTTTCCTGGTTCTGTGGTATTGTAGTTGAATATTTCAGAATCACTATTAATGAAGTTTTCATTCTGAAGATTGTTACCCACTTCTTCACAGTTAATGCAGTTTCTTTGAAATAATCATACATAATATCTACAAAGAACTAGAACATTGTTCTTCTGGTGTGTGGATAAAAATATGCTTACATGATTCTCATTTCTTTCATGTGTATCTTATCAGATATTCACTATATCAGACATTTTTCCAGGAAGAAGTTATAAATATTAATTTTAGAAAAATTCTATATTTTGTATCATTTGTCTTTTTTGCATAACATACCATTTATAAGAAAATAGATATTTGGTTTCCACACATTCCAGTAGTTCAGAAATTTATTGAATCAGTATCATTATAAAAGTTTAAATTATTCCAGGAAAGGGTCTTGCAACAAAACATTTGCTGGGTCAACAGCAGGCATGAAACTTGTATGATATTAATAGTGTCAGATCCTGGGCTATGTGTTTTCCATATACCTGCATGCATGCACATCAGTGAACACATATTTTATGATCCAGAGGCTAAATTGTATGAGAGAAGGATTTAAAAATAACCTTCATTTAAAAAATGTAAAGTAAAATTAAAATGAATATTTATTTTACATATACAAAGCCTACATCTAATTCATAACATTTTACTGCAACTTATGTTATAAAACAAGGATATATTTCAAAGAACCTGTCAAGAAAGGAGGTGACAATCTGGAGTTTTGCATGTGAATGTATTGCTTTGTGCTGTCTTGTCTCCATGCCTGTATGTGTTGCACTGCCCTGAATGCTATGTTGCATGTGCTGTGTAGATCCACGTTCCACCAGTCTTGATGCTCTGTGGGAGAGTGCCCGCAGACTTAGCGAAGCTGGGGTGAGACGTGCTTCAGGTAGGTTTGCTGTTAATGATATTTAGTAGTATATTACTCAGGTGAGAGTTATAAGCTAATGCAAAATCTTTAATAGGCATTTTACAATGCTCTCATTAGACATCTGTTAGAACTACTGCATAGTATGTGTTACTACCGACAACTGTAGAATAAATTGTCACTTGTCTGTTTAACCTTTAACTTACAATGATTACATCTGAGATATGGAAAACTGTGACTCAAAACTCTGTACAACAGACATTAATTTGTGTAGCATCACTGGTATTGTTGATAAAAGCACTTCATTCAGATAGTTTTAATACAATTTTGACATGATTTTGGTAAATAATTGAATTGCACGTAAAAAGACAAAGACCTCAAGCTAAATTATTTAACAAAAGTTGAACAGTTGAATGTTTTAACGTGTGTATCATTATTTTCAGATGCCAGTATTGTGTTGACAGAGGACACAGACAGTTTCATTATTGGTGACCGAGTATGGGTGGGTGGTACCAAGCCTGGACAGATAGCCTACATTGGTGAGACACAGTTTGCACCAGGAGAATGGGCTGGAGTAGTTTTGGATGAACCAGTAGGTAAGTTCCTAAAAGACAGTGATACATACCTTATTTGTTTAGCATTCACATTCCAGGGTAAGTGGAGGGAGACTCTCAGTACACTCTTAAATTCTTGTAATAAATCTGAAAGTTATCTTATTTCATTCAGAAATTGTATAACCATAGACAGTTGTTAAGTGATTTTAAGCAGAGCACATTGTTTATGTTTTGACAATGCTGTTATCATTTGGCCAAACCTTTAATGTGAGCTATTTTAATGCACCAACCATTTTTTCACCATACCATTTCTCATCTAATGCTACATTACCACAGCACCATACAGCAAACAAAAATAAAGAAGCCATGTATTGATTTATTAATTTATTTGAAATGCTGTTTACTTTTCTCTTTCCATCCAGGGAGAACCTCTACTTAGTTCATCAAATTACAATGTGCATATTCCTTTCTTGAACACATCATTTACCATTCTCTCAGTGTTCAGCCATAATGAGTGTATACTAATAAATGACACTAATTGAAAGTTCCTATGAAATACATTGAATTAATATAATTTTTGGGATTTATTAAATTTATTGTGACATCATGAACTAATTAATGTCAAACAGGAAAGAACGATGGCTCAGTGGCTGGTATACGTTACTTCCAATGTGAGGTGCGACGTGGAGTATTTTCTCGTCTCACACGCCTCACTAGAACCTCCCTACAGCAATGTGATGGGGAGGCACAGGCAGCTGGTGACAGCCCTGCCCAGCCACGACCAACTAATGGAACATCAGGAATAACATCACCAGTCCGTCGGCTCACACCTATTGTCTCGCCTTCTGGCAGTACAAAGGACCTTCATATAAAGAAATCAGCATCTCCTTCATTGAGTAAGTTAGCTGCTGTCAGTGATAACTGTTTTAGGAGCTATGTTATGGAAAAGTATTTTCTTTAAATATTGATGTTAGAGGTTCTGTTTTTCTTTATCAATATGCCATTCCAAATTGAGACATATTGATGTAGGTTGCTGTGTCAATTTTGTTGTAAGCAGCTCCCAAATGTGAAATTTAATTGTAAAATGTACTTAGTTACGAGGTAAAATTAAACAAGTGTGTGTGATTATTGAATGCTGTCAGCTATATTCTTATAGTATAATGCATGTCCTAAGTTGGTCACCAAACACTTGGATAAAAGTTACTGCCAATACAGTGGTACCCATACATTCAGCTTAACATCCACACAGAATTCAAAAGCAAAGTTATGCATGGTTTTACAATTTATTCATGAACTTAGGGCTGAGATATTAGTTTTGCTAAATATGTGTATTGTAAAATGTATGCATTGAAGCAGAAATGATATTTAAGTTGTAATTTTTGGATTAATCTCTTTATTCTGGATCCATAATGTGTTTTTGAAACTTTATTAATGCCTTTGCACAGATTTGTCCATCACGAACTTGAATTCAACAAGCCATTCAGACCTGAAGCTTGGAGAACGGGTGATAATAATGAGTAGTCAGGGCTCTAAAGCTGGTACTTTGCGGTACATTGGGACTACTGAGTTTGCTGCAGGGGAATGGTGTGGAGTGGAACTTGATGATCCTTTGGGAAAAAATGATGGATCTGTAGAAGGAAAAAGGTGATGGTCATAAATAATATGATTTTGAATGTTAAATCACATTTGTTTTATTTTTTACATTCTTAAACAAGGAAAGAAAAAGCAAAATAAATTATGGATGTGTAATAGTCATGAACATCTTATATATGGATGTCCTTTCTGGTTCTGGTTCTTCTACTTCAGATATTTCCAGTTCTGTGGCTCATATACACATCACATAGACTTTTACACTCATTCCTCTTCTCACATAAATTATTCTGTTCAGACTTTCTTTCATTGTTTTATCCTGTTCTGAAATTTCTTTCATCTATTGTGAATTCTTTCTCTTCATGATCCTTTCACCTCCTGATCTTTTTGTTAGTCTTTTGTCCTTTTATTTTCATTTTACAGCTGGATTTGGTAATCATTTACCCTCCTTTCAGTCACATGTCAAGACATGTCTTTTTTTAGTTAATTTCTTGTGAAATAACTTTCTGCATATTTTAATTCTGCTTTCTGTGTGTTGTCCTCCTGATTTCAAATAGGTATTACCATTCAGTGTTTGGCTAATCATCTGTTATTGATTCTTATGCATACAAAATGTATGTGTATGTAAGTGATGAATATATTTACTAAAGACAGTAAGAGTTAATGAAGGAATTCTGTGGCAGGTATTTTGAATGTCAGCCCAAGTTTGGGTTGTTTGCTCCAGTACACAAAGTGAGTAGATCCCCTTCTAGCCGTCGTCCATCTGCTTCATGCATGATTCATCGTGGAACACCAGGCCCAAGCATAAAGAGAGCAGGCTCACGGGAATCAGTCGTATCAGCCTCAAGTACAGCTTCATCTGTACGTGGTGCCAGGGTAAGACTGGGTGTTACATCATTGAGCAAGACTGTCCAGCAGGTAGGCTAGTTTCCTCACAAAACAGGAAACCAGCCAAAAGGAGCACCAGAGAAAGGAAAGCAGATAGAAAGTAGATATTTGACCCAGGAATTCTGTATTTCATGTTAACTGGATCTGAAGTGTTTTGGATTAACTCTAACTACCATGTTACAAAATAATGTGTTGTTAGATTACTGAATGCTTGCAACATTAATTTGAGGCTACTTATTCAAGAAAATATGACTGAAGTCTAATTTAATTTATAAAGGGTTCTAAGTGTAATTTTCTGGTCACAGTGACCATGCAGTCTGAGGCGTGGGTCTTGTGTGCTTGGACACTGTGACCATGGTTTCAAATCTCACTCAAGGCATGGAAGTTTGTCTGTGTCTTTCAGTGTTGTGTTGTCCTGTGTACAGGTGGAGGCCTTGTGACAGGCTGATCACTTGTCCAAAGAGTCCTACCGACTGTCTAATAGATTAAGTAACCACCAGAAGAGGCGGCCAAGACCCACACTTGGTTGTAGAGCCACAGATGATGATGATTATTATTTAGTGTAATTTATTTCAACATCTTACTGTCATATGACATTTAAATTTAATGAGGTGATATAAAAGTAAAATATTGAAGGAAATAATTAAATAGGGAAAAATTGTAAATATTTTAAGACAAAGTTACTGGAATTTATATATCTGAAAGTATGTATCAATCAATCTTACAAACTATTGTTGCATGATTCTTTGATGATAGAAAAAAGATATATATATATATATATATATGAGAATGAAACCTTTTTTGAAGTATATATACAAATAAAAATTATACTGTGTGTTCACCGAATGGTGTGCCTGGGAAAAGATTCCAACTCTTGCTGTAGGTATAGTAATATTTTGTGTACATTATTGGTAAATCATACAAATGTGGTAGGGGTTTGTGGTACGCCTTGTAATGTGTGTTTTCATGACACTTCCCAAGAAAATTTATTTTGAAATTATTTTTTTTTTACCTGTGATTATCTAAGTGCATTATAAAACGGTTTCACAGCTTCTGAAGGCTGTACTTGGAGTTCAGACAGGAATACAGACACCTGAGAATTGTACATAAATATGTCTTCATTTTACAAGAGCAGTAAAGTACTAATGCGCATATGGCATCAATTTTGCAATGCATAGAGAATAATGCAACATAAGTGTATAGCTAATAGTTATCCATGTTTTGAAGCAGGCATTATAAATGTTTTACACCAGAGATGGTCAATTTAGTTCAACATGAGAAGTGGAAAAAAATTTACTTCCCTGTACAGTTTATTGTGGACACATTATCTATTTCATTCAGATGAAGCCTAAAATACAGTTTCACTCACAATTCAACTTCTATTTTTCTTTGGGCATATAATACAATGAAACATACTTCGGAATTTCTGTTAGCACAAACTTCTTATCACAGTGACATCACAAAGTAACTGAAACTGTGAAGTCATTTTAAGTGTATCAGGCTAAGTTTATGAAAATATGGGACAGCAGAATGAAGCCATTATATTGGGAGGGCAGCATAATGATAATTAATATCTAGTTGTTATTAAGGGAAATTTAAAACTTTATCATGAATGTGTAAATTTTGAATTACTTTCACTTACATTCCTGCAGAAGAAACATAACCATGTTGCAGCCCAGTATAAGAAAACAGTTTGACTTTGTATGAGTGGTGTCATTGAAAGTAAAAGCCTGTACAGTGTATACTGTATTCTTAAAGCTGAATTTGCTAAGGATAGTACAGTGTAATTGTTGTGTGTGTGTGTGTGTGTGTGTGTGTGCGCGCGCGCGCGCACACACGTTTGTCCATATCTTGTTAATTGCTGTAGTTGCATGTACAATGAGAAATAATTTCTTGCCTGATAAATTTTGTTAAGACTTAAATAGGGCCACATTAGTTTCATGGAATTTGCCAGCCTCATTTTAGTGAATGCATCTAGTGAAGTAAAAAACAAACCAAAAAAAAGACACTTGTATATTACATAATTCAAGTTAGTTTGTGATACGATGGTAAGATTAACATTTTTTGCCAATATAACACCACTCTTAGTGTTTTATTATTAATGTTAACAGAAATACATATTGTCCTTTTGCCTTAACAATTAATATTCATATTTGCATGGGTCTTTAATTCAGATTCTAAGAAGTTAATTACATCCTAATTTAATTAAAGTACCAGTTGCCAAATATATAATCCAAAGGTTCTGTTTTATTGTGTTAGGTATTGCTTGTTACGAAAGCATGGTATACTTTTATATTTCCTGTTTTTTTCCTTTCCTTTAATTGTTTTGTTTTTTCTGTTGCGCCTTTTGGATGGTTTTAACCCAACTAATTTATCATAATTATTATAAATACTATAATAAAGGTAGTATGAAATTGTTGTTTCTTACAAAATAAATACTTTTTTTTTGTTATGTACAGACTATTTTTCTGTTTATTGAAGTGAGTGATTAAATTGTTTAATTATTTAGTGCATGTGGTGTGTCTGTGTTTTATGTTTTAACTTCTCTGATTTTGTTCCCAATTGACACATTAATATTGTGGAATCCCACTCCTTTGTTTGTAGAAAGCTGTCATTCGAACACCATCTACTCCAGTCTCTAGAAAGTCTTCACTTCAGGTAAGGGCATAAGAACATTGTAGTGGCTCATTTTACTTTTGATGGAGAAGTTTATTTTGAGAAAGGAATATGCTTTAAATTTAATATGGATGTATTTATGTGAGGCACCTTATTTATAATTTCTCACATTTTACTTCCAGCAGTTTATTTTATTGAGGTATATGATTTGTATTTTGAAACTAATACAATTGTTATTGCTGAGTTTCATTTTATATATTGTTTATGTTTATTGTGTTAAAATTATGTAAGTCATACTTTTTTATAAAAATACTTATTAAAGTTTGGGCAAATATTCCTATCACTATCCTGTGAATTCCTGTCCCTCGAATAATTTTTGAGGTAAGGAAGTCTCGTATGGTACATTTAAGGCAGAAACAGGAGTATTTCCTGTTCATGTACGTGTCACTGATATGGAGCAGGAATTGAGTAGTACTTGGACCCTGAAGCAACAAATATTACTTATCTCTACTAGGAGTAGAGAGCACTAGTTACTCTGTTCTGTTCTCTTTCCCAATTCCCACACTAAGGTCAGTGTTACAGGAGTGATATTTATACTCTTTTTGTTGTCTGCATGGCAAACTGACAAAAGCAAACTGTGACCACGTTACTGTGTTGTCAAGTCACAAAAAGAGGAAATGACTCTCCTCAAATGATGCACATTTAAACAATCTGTTAAAGACGAATGAGTGAACCCATTCATAATAAACATTGTCACAAGAGGGTAGGTCCTGGTGACAGTTTCATCCTTGGGTTTCTTTACTAGTTTCATACATTTCTACTGTTTTAGCTCATATCAGTGTAACTGTACACACATGAATTTCCTTTATCAGCATTATAAAGATTCTTATATAGTATGAACCAGAAACATATTTCTTTAAATTATAGTTATGAATGAAAGGAGTACAGACAAGATAAATTATTGCAACCAAAGTAGGTCACAACATCTTGGCTCCTATGATTTTAAAGTCTTGGATAATTAGCTGTTAAGAGGCAATGATCTGATCAGTAATTAGAAGTCTCCTTTGAATTTCATGATGTCAGTATTAGTATGGAAATGTGCTATAGTCACATTTGTGTAAGCTCTGTTATGGTAAATAGTTTATCTTATGTGAAACAGCTTACCCATATCTCTGATTATCTATTTTGATGTTAACCCTTTACCACTTATTCTAATTTAAAACATTTTAGGCAAAGATTTAATATCTTCATAATGTAATAATAACAATTTTCCCTGTTGAGTAGGAAACCGACCTTGAACATACAAATATAGTTCTTGTATAGGTCACCTTCCTAAGTAGCATCTGTTGTGCTTATAATATATTATCATTTTACTATAGCACGTTACAATTATCAAACTAATTTTTTTGGATCTTAAACTTATGTCTCAGCTTTGGACATATTCTATTCAGACATTTTATGCTGAAATTTTACTCCACTATATTTTTCAATGTGCATCAATGGGCACTAATTTAATTTCAGTAAGGTTACAGATCATTATGTTTTTTCTGACAAGGACAGAGAAATATGTCTTTATTGGGTGTGTTCAGGCCAAATATGGATATCACTTATTTTCCTATCCAGTGGGTTCCATGTCCCTTTCCTTTCAAGTAATATTTGTCAGAGTGTGTTTAAGATTGACCACTCTCCTCCATCTTGTGCCAAGGTTATAAATGCATGGATTTTTACCTCCACTCCTGTATCTATTCCTAATGCAGGGAATTATTTATGATTATGGTTTTATAGCAAGTACATTGTGTGAAGAAACCTAGTTACATGTTCCATTTACACATTGTACCTATTAACTTCACTGGGTTATGCCTGCAGTTGCTAAGGATAAATTATAAGCATCAGTTTACCATTGTATTTCTTTTTTCAGCTACTCTCACACATGATGTTACAAATAATAGCTGAACTCCTGCAAAGTACTTCAACAAATTTATTAAAGTTAAGAATTTGCAGGCTACTGAATTATGCCTTCAGAAAGTTAGATGGACTTTACATCGCTGTCAATGAATTAATCAAGTTTTCCTTTACTTGATATGTTTCTTGAAGAACAAAAAATGCTTTGATAAATGTGTGCATTCCATAAATCTAGTAAGCAGGTTGTGCAACAAGTCAGGGTATAATAAAGTACATCTCACTCATAAAATATTTAGAAATTAAATACACTTACTGAATGTACCACAAGAACAAAATACACTACTACAGAAACAATCTCATAATTACATTATTTATAATTCCTTAATTAAAATTATACTGCATTCAGTTTTAAACATGATGTATGAAAACATGGAAATATCGTGGAGTGAAATCTGTTATAAAATACTGTGTGTGTGCGCGCGCGCGCATTCATGTGTATGTAACAATTTGGCGTTTTCATTCAACACAAAGTGTTCCCATAAATACATCCATAAGATTATTTTTCACTGAAGTCATTGCTATGTTTCATTTTTCAGAAGGACAGAAATGGTATTGTAAAACATAAATTATGTTCTCTGTTGTGATGCCATGTGGACTCATAGGTAGATATCAGAATTTTTGGAAATCATAGTGATAGGACTGTGTTTCTCTAAAATGTTGGTATCTTCCTATTAGTCCACATGGCATCACAACCCAGAAGAAAAACGACATTGATACCCTTACCTTGAGAACCTAAAATTTCACTTAAGAATATTATCCATATATTCAGAATTGTTGAATAGTACTGTATGCTAATGCATGTGGGAAGTGATCATGAGGCACTAAGGACTCAAAAGAGAGGCATCCAAAGCTACTAAAACAGGTGAATGTACCAATTCAGAGTAATCCAATATAGCTGAATCAGTGCAGTGGATGTGAAGTTCAATTGCTGAGGAAGGACTTCTCCTCTGGCAATTTGGTCTACCCAGCTTTCCAATGAATTGGTAGCAGGGGAACAGGGTATAACAGCTGTAAACCAAGCTGATGACTTATGTCCTTCCAGTGTGAAGGTTTTGAATTTGCAGTGCTTTCCATTCATTGTATGGTGCTTCATCTCAGAGCAGCTGTGTATTTGTACTACCAATACTTCAGAGTTGCGGGCTAAATGTAGCATTATATTTTCCAGCTCTCAGTTTCCTGTAGCTCTTGTGATCTTTTACTTCACAGTTAATAAGTTGCGCACATGATTTAATTTGTTTCACTTTTATGTATATGTCAGAAGTGTCTAAAGAATTTAATTGGAAAATATTTCTGGAGAGACTTGGCAAGACACTAAGAATTTTTATAAAAAGGTGACTAAAAAATTGTTGAAGGAATAGGAATTACTTTTCATTTAAAATCTGATACTGCATTTCAGGATGTACTACGTGAGAAAGACTTGCATATCGAACAGCTTTTGAAGGAGCGAGATCTGGAAAGAGCAGAGGTTACTCGAGCAGCCAGCCAAGCAGATGATGCTGAACAGAAGCTTGCTACGTATAAACAAGAATTTGAACAGGTGCATTTAAATTGTCCGTTTATCCACTTACTAAAGCGACTTATTTCAAGAGACAGTCTAGAATTTTAAATTCATTTTGTGTGTTTAATACATATTTAAAGTTGAGGAACTGAAATTAATAATATATGTGTGTTTATAACAGAAACATAAACATCCATTACAAAATGGTTTGAAGAATTAATTGTAACAGCTAGGTAATAGCTTCTACTTGAAAAAAACTGATAGTCTAGTCAAGTAATTCCAATAAAATTAAAAATATAATATTAAATAAGTGATAATTTCTTATGTATCTGACTGAAGTTATTTAATGATGTAATTGTGCAATTTAATTATTTTTTTTAGATAGATAGTGTGGATAAAAGTCCAAGAACAGGATAAAATTTATCAGGAGAATCAAGTCAAACACTCTTCAATTTTATGTTCAATTTAATAGTGAAGAAAGAGATGAAAATTGATTTTGACACCCACAAAGTGTGCATATTTGTGATTTATAGAAATATCTAGTATGTAGAACATCAGGAGAAAGTTTTACAACTTTTAAGTTTGATTCAGTTTGTTTTGCCTTTCAGTTTGTTATATATCCCATTGTACTCATTTGTTTATGTATCCATTCAGTGATGAGATTATTACAGGATTGTATCCTATCATAATCTGTTCCATTTGCATCCTAAGGATGCTCCATACTGTGGTGTCAAGGAACCCATTTCAGATGGAAATATCCAACATCCATAGTCTAGGCCACTGACAGTTTCATTAAATAAACCATAAATAAATAATCTTGGGAATAATGTTACTTTTTTTGTGTATTTCTGCAGTCTGCTTGTTGTTAAATTAATTTTCATTATACTGTGAAAAGTAGAGTTCCTTGATTTCCACAATGCATGTATCGGGACATAATATGGTTTATTGCTGTCTTTTGGTGTGTAGGTTATTTAACCGCTCAGATTGGTTAATGTCATATGAAATATGGTTGGATGAATGTGATATGAGGAAATTCTTATGGCCTTTTGTAAGGTACTCTTGAAACATTTGCGTTGGGTAAGTGAGGAAAATTAAGAGAAACCTATAGTTAGGATATATGGGGTTCAAACCACCTAACACAAGTCAGATGCATTAACCTCCATTATCACACTCAGTTAACTGTTTTGCTTTACATGGATAGTAATTTTGATTTGGTGTTTTGAAATTGTTTTATTTAGTATCGAGAGGAATCAGAAGCTAAGCTGCTGGATATTCAGGATCTCTTGTCCAGACTAAAAAAGGAAAAGGGGGAGCTGACAAGTCAGCTGGAAGATGAGAGAAGAAAAGTTGAGGACTTGCAGTTTAGATTTGAAGAGGAAGCAATCACTAAATGTGATATACAGGTAAGAATTTACATCATAATGTATGAGTTTCTGAATATTTTATTACATGTTAGTGTCTGTGTTCTAAAATATTATATCTTAAGTTGTAACTTACTGAAGTGAATAAGAAGTAAAATATTGATTTGTGTTTTTATTTTTCAGAGGAAGAGAATTGAGCAGGATGTGAGTAGAAAATGGCTTGGTGTTGAATCACATGTGTGTCTGTAATTAACTTTTTAGCATGGTTTGTCTCCTCTTTCTTTCAGCTTGACTGCATACTTTGCAAATGCTGTGTTGTCCTTTGTGCTTAAGTATACATCGTAGTGCTTAGAGCTAAGGAACTGAAACTTACATAAGCATTCAATGTGAAATAATTCTTATTTTGGCAGGCATGGGAACATTCGGTTTTATGTTGTATCTTAAATGATCAGTCTGTGACATTATATACAAAACTAAATGTATTAACATTGAAAGTTTGAATATGTTATGAAGAAAGCAAATATAATTCTGAGTGATATTTCTGTTTCTGTTACATTTTTATTATCCATTTGTTGCATAAACGCATTGCAAATTACAAATTGCATTTAATCACAGGGAGTTAAAGCACAGTCAGAAATATATTACTGGCCTAGGTTTAAAAGAGACTACTATGAAATGTATAATTGTTCTTGTATAATGCACACACATTTTTATATTGAAAGAACACAAGTGTGTGAATATTTTAAAGGCTAGAGCATGTTGTATCAAAGTAAAGGCAGATAATTAAATAATAATTTACACTAAAAATCAGTTATATCTGATTTCTTTATGATTCAAATTTTCATATTTAGCACAGAATTAAAAACATATTCACAGAGCAATATGTCAGTTTACCAGCAATCCAGATTCAAAATGTTGTTCTTTATTTACTGGGATTGGGACCGGGACTGACGTTTGTAGGTCCTTATATATAAAAACGTTTGTTTCCAGAAAATTGTTCCTTTGGCTTCATCTGCTTTAAACACGTTGTCCAAGCTCTTATATCTAGAAAGAAAACTGCCTACAACAGTACATCATACCACTTGTGAACATTCTCATTCATTTCTGTTTTGTATTATTATTATATAATTAAAAAGGTGCCTTCAAGATAAGTTTGTCTTTAAACTTATTAACACATTTCACTGATGCTAAGTTTAAAGCAGGCATAATAAAATGCTTAGCCTTAAACATTGGCATGCTGAATCAAGTTTTCTAGGCATTGGCAGTGTTAAAGTTTATCCAGACTTTGATTGTGAATGTGTTAAGTCAGCATGAAGTGATTGTTATTTGTTTGTTGTTCAGTTAATAACAATATCAATATCTCAGACTACACATGGTAGCATTAGGTGATAGAATGATTAATGAACAATGAATTGGAAAGGATGTGATAGAAAGTGGTTAGTCATGGTATAATTTAAGGTATGATGCCAGCTATTCCTGGAGGGACTGAGGAAAACAATGAAAAACCATGGCCAGGATATCAGAATTTTTGCCAAAATCTGAACCAGGAGCCTTCTAAATATGAGGCACTGCATTTAATGTGGCAGTGGTACATTTTGAATCTGAAGTACATCTTTGTAGAGCAGGCAGTTATCATAAATTTCTCTGAGAAATATTCACTGTAAATTACCTTGAATATTCTCATATAACATCTGTTTGTTATATAGAAATGTATTAGATATTCTTTATAGAAACTACTTTCAAAATTGTGTGCCTCATGAAAGAGTGCATGACATCATAACCCAGAAGAAAAAATCCACATTTTCACTGGTTAACCATTAAACATTTATTTTTTTATATTATTTACAGTATTTAAATGTTTTTTCACATATTTTTTCAGATATAAATACTAGCAGAAATATACAGATATTGTGATCAAGGAACACAAAAGATTACTCTGGACTTAACAAAGGAAGGGCACAAGCATCTCTAGGTCCTTGATTTAACACATTTTGGCCAATTCTAGATGGCTTACAGGGATATATATATATATATATATATATATATATATAAAGACTAAATATGATACACACACACACACACATAAATGTCCCAGAACTGAATCTCCAGATTGATAGTTTTAAAAAGGAAGTTTTCTCTTAACTCCAAAGAACAAGGTTTGATGCTTTGAGAATTATATAGTACAAGTAATTCTCTTATGTGCCATGGTTAAAGCTGTGAGATAATTATAGAGGTTACAGAATTTATAAGTTGGCGTTATTACATTGTGGTTTGTGCAACTTAAATTTAGGTCCCCCGTTCAAATAGATGCCAAACTGTGAAATACAACTTACTGTTTTTAAATAATTTTCTTGATTAAATATGAGTTATGAAATGTACTATGAAACAGTAATTTTTCTCTTCATTATGTCTACCATGTCTTGCATGACTTGTTGACAGATTTTAATGAAAATTTCTATAGCATAATGCTGGCAATGATCAGACTTATTAACTAATAAAGAAAGTATAGTTCTGAGGTCAACAAGTAAATTTGTTGTTCTTCAACATCACTCACTGGTGAGTTAGTTTCATGGCTTACACTAACTTGCATGCCATTTTACTTGCTGATAATACTATTATATTAAAATTCACTTATTTCTGTACTTCCCTGTCATATGTCACTTACAAATACACATTTTGAAGACATATCATATTTTCTTGTACTAGTTGGATACTTCCAGAGAAATGAGTATCTTTGCTGGCTGTTTGGAAAGGTCCTGCAATAAAATCTAAATCATTGTCTTTTTGTCAGGGCCTTAAAAACCCAAAGAAAATCTTTGTGTTAAGTCCAGATTTTATTCTTATAGCTGTTTTTACTTTTCCAATAACTGACATTGGTTGTGTAAACCCTGTTACATTTCCAAGAAGACAAGTGCCCCAGTTATGCCTTTCTGTGTATGTGGCCTGATAATTGTTATTACTATTTGTTAGTCTATGGTGACTACCTGACCCTTCTGTTCATCAATCCTACTAGACAAAACGAATGTAATGACAACCTATCCACACTATTATTCTTAATAAGTATAGGCAGATTACAGGTTTAATTTCTGCACTGCTATTTTCATAACTGTTTGCTAGTGTGCTTTGTAATGCTATATTTGTTAATTATTGCACTGATGATATTGTTGTATTTTTCTGTGGAATGAACTTCGCTGGGTGCTGCTGCTACCAGCTGTCAGTTACTACAGTCTGTCACTTTCATATCACTGGCATGTATTAACTTTCATAGTTTTCTCTGACTTCTTTCTCAAGATTTCTTTTAGTTTCCAGTATCTTTTTGTTACAGCTGTTGTTTTGACAGGCACAAAACTTACTTTCCATGATTTTTGTAATGTTATTATTAGCTTTGATTTCAGGCGTATTATATAATGCAACATTTTATTTTCTTAGTAGTGTTCTCTTAGTTATGTGGGACATCAAAAAGAATGAATATGGGTCCCTAAATTTACCTGTGATTCAATAATACATGTGATTCATAAAAGATTCAGGTGTACCTGTGTCTTTACAATTTTACTTTAGCAATTATATGGTTGCAATTAAACACTCATTATTCTTATAGTCTTTCATTTCTGACACCATTGTTATAACTACAATCCTCACATGACAAACATTTCACATGTTTTGAAATTAAATGTTTAAAGAGTGTATTTGAAGGAAAATGAAGATGTGAAACTTTGTTGATGCTGGCAGAAATAATATCTAAGGTACATAATGAAAAGCCACAATTAAAGAAAGATTTGGCTTATGTAAACCACAAGCAAGTAGAGTAACATGACTGAACTCCAGTCAACTGATCAGTATAAATTTAACATCTTGGGATTCAGGGATGATCATCCACTTTAAGGTGATGAGATACACTTTATACCATTATTCTGACCTTTTCCTTGTGAGAAATGAGTTCAGACACAGATGGGCGAATTATAATATTAAGTTACATAATATTTCCTTTTCAGTTAATGAATTTTTATGTGTAGCAGTGGAAATATTTGTCAGATCTGAAAGACCAATAAAGTATACATTTAGATCTATTCGTTCCTTCATATTGTATAAGAGCTAAAATAAAACTGTCTTGATTAGAGGAAATTATTTGTAATAATCTTGTCATTAGTGATTTGGTGGTTAGATTGTTATAAAATAGTTACTTGTTCACATGTTATGCCATCTTATTTGAGATGGGACTGATTATGTATTACTTTCAGGCTGCTAATGCTGTGTCTGAAGAACAAATTCAAGAGCTAGAAAAATGTTTATCTGAGGAGAGACAGAAATCTGAGTTACTGGAACAAGAATCTAATAAGTTGTTTGAAGCGGAGGAAACAATAGCACATTATAAGGATGAGCTGGACACAAAGCAGAAGGAATTGAATGATGTTCGAGAAGCACTGAAGCTTCGGGATGAGGAAGTAGAAACAGGAAATCAACAAGCAAGTGACGAAATCAGCAAACTAAAAATAGAGTTAATGGAAGCTCAAAATTTATTTAAAATTAAATGTGAAGAAACAGATAAATTACATAAAGAGCATAGCAATGAAATTGATAAATTAAGGGAGGAGCATGAGAAGTCTAATAATGCGCTAAAAAGAAGTTTGGAAGAGCTATCAGGGCAGCATTCTTCTGACCTTAAACTCTTATATAAAGAATTAAATGAAACTCAAAATCAGTTGAAGCTTAAATGTGAAGAAGTTTGCAAAATAACCAAAGAACATAAAGATGAAATTGAAATATTTAAAGGGAAACTTGAGGAAGCTGAGAATTTGCTGCAAATTAAATCTGAAGATATGCAAAATGAAATAGTGACTGTAAAAGAAAGTGAGGCATCTTTGAAGAAGGAGCTTATAGAAATTCAAGCAGCTCTTAAATTAAAATCTGAAGAACTGGACAGAAGCGTTGAACATGCCAAAGAACAAGAAAGACTGATAGAAGATCTAAAATTAGAAAATCAACAGACAGAGAATTTGTTGAAAGAAGCAACAGAGAACCTTGACAAAAAAACTTCTGCAACAAATGAACTGGAAAAAATATTGATGATGCAACTAGATTCCACTGAAAACACTCTAAAGATTAAAGTTAATGAACTATCTAAGATTAATGAAGAACATTCAAATGACTCCAAAACCAAAAACTCAACAATACACAAGCTTGAGGAACAAATTAAGGAAAGAGATTCTGAAATAAATAAATTGAAACAGGAACTAGTAACACTGAAGGAAGAAATTATAAAAGATAATGCTACAGCAAAAGAGCAACATTGTAAGGAGATCAAAGAAAAGATGCATTTGTTGAATGAAATGGAGGAATGCTTGAAAGAGAAAGATTTAGAAGTTAAGCTGCTGAGACAAAATGTTGAGACCCAGGAGGAAGAGGTTCGCAGGAAAGCTGCAGATATTCTGGTGCGACAGGAAGAAACACAAAGTAAGTCTTCTTGTAAAAATTTGTTAGCAGTGAGAGATATATCATTGTCCTGCCAGCCTTTTTGTATAACACACTGATAGATTCCCATCTGAATCACCTGCTTAATATCTCTCAAAAAAGAGCACTTTTTGCACACTTTCAGTAATCTTTCCTTTGTTCTGACATGCTTGAGGGGTGGGGTTGGTTTTGAGAGGGTGTACAGAAGATGTGACAAACGATACTTTATTTTCTTTTAGGGCTTTACAGTCATTGTCAGTGATGGGGTGGGAAGGTTTGTTTCAGTGGCCATGATGGTAGTAAGAGAGGATTCCACAGGCATCATTGGTCTTTTTAAATATTAATATCTTACAGTCAGTTCTCAAAAACTTTGGAATGTCTGTAAGTAGAATAGCCAAACAAGATTCTGTGAATACGTGTGGACCTTGTGTAGATAATTGTGGTTGTATGCATTGTGTCATGTGGGAAACAGAACTTGTGTCTACAGTGTTTATAGCAAAACCCCTTGTTCTGGCTTTCTGTTCACATGTAACATATAAAGCACTGCTGAACGTATTATACATTTAATCTTATGTTGAGGAGTTTTACTGAAAGTTATTGATATTCAGATCTTAGTTAAAATCAAACAGCAACGGACATATTATATGAAGACCTACATGTGTGTCTGTGCATCTCAGCTGTAACTCACTACATATTTGTTGTAGTGAAACATTCTCAGAAAATAAGTTATGGAGGAAAATGAAACAGACATTTTATACCATTATACTTTTCTGTAAGTTTTCAGTTCTAAAGATAATTAAATAAAAGCTGGCACTCACGAATTGGAAATGAATATGTAGTAACAGAGCAAACATATTAGTACATTATCTGAGCTGTGTTCTGCAAATATTGCCTTATAATTTGTTTATTCATATAGCAAGAGATATTCTGAACAAAAACTTCAACTCTCAAGAATTTTGGTGGCCCTGATAGCCCACTAAAACAGAAAGTTTAATTTTGTATGTGAATTTAATTAAGAGATAATATATAATTCCATAAGAACTTTAAATATAAGATTTACATTTATCTGAGTTCAAATATGGACTGTCAAATATTAGTTGAACCTGTTGGTTACAAAACATTACAATCCAGAAGCCAACATCCAACATCTCCAATGTCATGATAACCTCAAATATCACTCTCATTTTATTTTTTTTCAGACCTGATTCAGAAATTAACAGATTCTGAGAACTTGATTGCAGCTCTGACAGCTAATATACAGAAGTTTGAGTTGGAGACAGGTGACCTTCATAGAAAGTTACAAGCTTCAGATGAAAAGTATGAACAACTGACACAGCAGAAACAAAGACTGGTGAGACATTTGCCATGTAGAAGTGTTGATTTTTGATATTGTTACACGTATTACTATCCTTCAGCTGGAATACTGTGAATCACAATAAACTCTGAAAATATTAATCTTTTTGATGGTTGGTAGCACCCGTGTGCTAGAAGATTAGCTGATTACAAGTTTACATAGCACATCACAACATTGAAAGATGTGAACATACATCTTTACTTATAGTTGGATCTACATGCGTGTTCCCAGTATTGGTATCAGTTACACCCTCAGTGGTGATCCTGTGCCTGGGGGTATAGCTGGGCCACCCTGTCTCTAGGGGATAGAAATTCAGAGGCCTGGTCCTCCAGGTTGGGGGTTGGGCATGGGGTTTACAGTCCCATCATGGAAAACACTAATTGTACAGTAACAAGAAGAAGCCGGATGGATCTAAAGATAGATCGGAATGGAAGAAACTTGTTTAGGAGGTAAGGACCTACAAAAAGGCTGTAGAGCTGTAGAGTAGTAGTAGTAGTAGGTATCAGTTACAGTTGATTTTGGAAATCCCAAAGGAAGTCATGAGAACTTGGTACAAATCAGATTATCCAGACTTTGCACTTTCTATTTTATTAGTAGTTTAACCCAGTAGTGGGTCATCGCCGCCTCCTTTTGGAGGTTTCATAGTCTTTGAAGCGTGCATTTATGAATAGGGAGTGACCAGCCCACTGACTGCACAATTTCTACTCACTCCTGATTTGGCTGCCAGAGCCATCTAGCAGTGAATCAGGAGAGGCTTGGGTGAGAAAATAGCCACTGAATTTTGCTTATGAAACATCTCGTATCATGCTCGCAAGGTTCTTTTACATGCCATAAATTTACGATATGGGAACGCCGGCTCTACTTCCCTTCTGAAGGAAGTTGTGCTACGGATTTTTATCATCCTTTAAAATCCATTGATCTCGGCCGGGAATGAACCAGCGAACCTTGGGTCCAGTGGCGAGCACGCTAACCACTAGTCCACCGAGGGTGACGGTCTTTGCACTTGCAGCAATATTAAATATAAAACCCCTTTGGATAAATTAATTTATATCCTAAGTGGAAGATCAGTGTAAATAGTGGAACTATAAATCTGAAATACTGTGCAGGAATTATGAAGACTGAATTAAAAATTAGGATATTTGAATTCTCCGATCTTAAAACAACAAGGTGAGATTTCTCCATTGACATCCTGCACTAGACTGAATGTTTCTCTATATGATATTACACTAGAGTGTAAGTATTTGATGTGTTATTAATATTACATTCAGTTTTGTTGGTTTCAGGAGGATGACATATCTGGGCTAATGAGCAGTTCCAGTGATTCCTCAGCACAGCTAATTAAGTTAAACGCAGAGTTACGTGTAAGGGAAAAGGAAGTAGATGAGTTTCGGGAGATGCTGACAACAGCTAATCAGGAGAGAGAGATGCTGAAGCATAGATTGCAACAGATCACAGATCAGGCTGAGAAAGTGGAAAAGGAACTGAGGGTGAAATTTGAGAATCTTTTACAGCAGACTGAAAAAGCAGAACAAGACACAAAACTTCAATTAGAGAAAGCTAAAGGAATTGAGCAAGAACTTCGTCATGAATTAGAAAAAACCAGTGCTGAAAATCTTCAAGTGAAACAGGATGCAAAACAGGAAATAGACAGACTTGAACAGGAGGCAGAAAAGATGAGGATGGAATTAACTAAGACAGTAGAGCAAAGAAAGTGTGTGGAACAAGATTTAACACTAAGAATGGAACAGGTGGTT